TTTTTCTTTCCTTCTTTTTAATTTTGTGTAACATTCTGACCAATTCTGCATGCTTCTATCTGGTAATCTGAACAACTAATTTGAAGACAACAATATGTAATAGAGCAATCATTGTTGAATTCCCGTCGTTTTGTTTAGTAAAATTCTGTGTCTTTTCTATTTCTTTTTTTTTTCTTTTTTACTAGTTTTTGCTGTCTTTGTCTTTTCTATTTCTTTTTTTCTTTTTTACTAGTTTTTGCTGTCTTTGTTTTTAAAAAAAATGAGAAGAACTAAATTTTCTCACAAAACTGGAAGCCAGGTGGCCAAAACCAGCTCACGGGAAGAAAACAAGCTGTGCTCTTGCAGGTTTCAGAGGCAGTAGTTTCTGTTTGTTTTCATTTTCTGGAGACTGCCAGGATTCCTTTGCTTTCATTTGCACCAGCCAAATAAAAATTCAGAAAGAGCTGTCACCATGCCACAGGTTCCTTAGATTCCCCTTTCACCTTCGTTACTGGTGCTTTAGCCGTGGTGCTGGGCGTTGAACCACGGCCTCATGCGGTATTACGCATCTTGCCTGTATCGGTCAGCTCTCTCGCTGCTCGGGTGAAGTCGCTGAGAAATGCAACTAGAATGTGCAGACTTGCTTTCCCTCACAGTTTTGGAGGTTTCGGCGTCTGATCACCTCGCTCACAGGCAGCAACAGCATGGCGGAAGCTTCTGGCCTCGGAAAAGGACTCAGCTCTGGGTGAGCAGATGCAGAGAGACTGGGAGAGAGCCAAGGTGAGAAACACACCCTCCTGGGGCTGGCCACGTTCCTCCTCCAACCAAGCCACCTCTAACAGTCAGGCCAGCTGCAAACTTCTCTGTGACTGACCCCATCACGGGGTGGACACCCTCATGATCCGGTCACCTTCCAGAGTTCCACCTCTGCACTCAGGAGGCAGTGGGGGGACTGCCTTTTTAACTCTTCCTGACATCTGTAACATTTTCCTTTCAGATGCAAAGCTGAACTTTGGAAAGGTTAAGTTCCCAACTTGGGACTGAGCCACCTGAGCACACAGAACAGACTTGTAACTACTACATACGTGACCAGCAGAGTGGGTTTGTGACAGTCTGCTGGTGGCCGAGAGTTTAGAGCAGATTGCAGGGGACAGGATGGTTCAATCTCCTTTAAGGGAAAAGAGGCATCCCCAGCCCTGAAAAGTAAATTGGGAGGTAAGGATTTAGTCTCTGTCTCTCTGTCTATCTGTCTCTGTCTCTCTCTTTCTCTCTCTCTCTCTCTCTCTCTCTCTCTCTCTCTCTCTCTCTCACTATTTTTTTCTGAAATACTCTAGAGACATCTTTAAGAAACAGAAAAATGTCTGCTATGCAAGGTGGCTATTAATAACAGTAGTGTGTTATATAATTCAAAATTGCTAGAAGATAAGATTTTGAGTATTATCACCACAAAGAAGGGGTAAACATTTGAGAAGATTATGTGTCTGAGCTCTTTAAACACAATGAATCCATAACTTCTCTGAGACATTACACTGTATTCCATAAACTATTTAATTATTTTCTACCAATAAGATTAAGAAATTTTTTATTTGTTATATTTTAGGGAAGGGTCTATAGGGTGTTCAGAGTCTCACTACTAGATCAGACTCATAGTGATCTGCCTGTTTACAGCCTCCCAAGAGCTAGGATTTCAGGCATGGGCCACCACATCCAGTCTCAGTCACCATCCCAGCGTGTTCCAGGGGCAAGGGTAGCACAGCAGGCCTGGGGATTGAACCCCGGCCCCTGCACCTGCTTGCAGGCGCTTTAATCTGCTGAGCTATTTGGTCAGCTCTTGAAATTAAGAAAACATTGAACAAATAAACATAAATAATATTTTTGCTGTGAAGACTTGATGGATCTCTGAAAAATATCAAAAATAAAAGTAAATTAAATTTTACAAATAATCTTTAAAGATATAAGTTGGAATGCAAAAGGGTGTGGCCTTCCACACAGTTGGGAGTTCCTGATCAATTGAATATGTTCACCATATGACCAAGCAAACCAGTGTCTGTGCATTTACCTAAATGGAATAAAAAAACTATGTTCACACAAAACTAACAGCCATTGCTTAAATCAACTTTATTCACAATTACCACTGAAATGAGCAAACATTACTATTACTCTGAATCAATCAAGAGTGAAAAAAAAAACGTGAAGTTAATATTATACTATAGAATGCCGTAATGAAAAGGCTTTACTATAGATGTAAGTATCAAAATGTTTGCACCTCAACTGGGTTTATTTTTTTCTTTGAAAATATGTGCCTTTCTGTTTTACTGTCTTGGCTGTCACCTCAAATGGTGGTGCAAGAGCGGACTAAGAGGAGGAAGCCCTTGCTTCTGAATGACTGCTTTTTTTTCAGTAAAATTTTATTGAGAAACAAATAGCAATGAGACAGTTTCAAAACCGATTACTAGCACAGTTTCACTAATTAATCCATTGCATATTGTTGTCTTTTTCATCATACAATGAATGCTTATTCATTGTACAAGATGCAGACTCAACTGGGTTGATGCCAACACAATCATCAAGGCGACGTAGTCCTCGGATTTTGGGGAAGGACATTACTGCAAAGGAAAAATTATATGGAAATCTTGTTTAGCAGTTTTCAGAAACTGTAGAAGAGGAGTAGACTATGGGAAGCTCAGGAAATGCAGGGATTTGAGCAACGCTAACGCAGTTGTGCACTTAACACAAACTATAAATTTTATCCTAAAAGTCATGCATGTGGCCTTTTGTGATTTATATGTTAATGATTCTTTACAAAGCAGAGATGCATGCTCAAAATACCCAAATTGGTCCCCACAGGTACTTAGTTTGTTAACTAAGAGGCAAGAGAAGCTACCGATGCTCCCCTGGGGATGTCCCTTGAGAACTCCATGTCTTTCAAATCTACTCCCGCTTCCAATTCGTAGCTTCTGAGATTCAACACAACTCCAGGCCACTTCAGTTTGGAGGGACTGTGCTTCAGTCTTCTCCTTTGAATATCCTTTATTCCTCTGGATGTAGGCAGTTCTTCATGCAATCAGGCCTGTCTCAATCTGGGGACCCTGCTACATCTCAAAATAGAATGAATATTGAATGACTTGGAAATGAAGCACTCAGAGTGAGTGCTAACAGACATTCCCTTGTTATTTATAAAGACATTTTAATGTGTTATGTGGAGAGGTAATTTTATTGGTTTTATTTTGCTGTTAAGGAAAATGCAAGTGACTCTTCCAAAGAGCTAGAAAAAGATGCATGTCAAATTCAGGGCTCAAATCCATATTCTTCTTCCATTCTTTCCGCCCTGCCTTGGAGAAGCAGGAACCACTGACTACCTGAGAGCCAGCTTTTCAGATGTACTGATCTGTGGTTGAATTTCAGATTTTAGATTCACTGTTGAGATTACTGCATGATTTCGAGCAACAAGAAAAGCTACTACATTCAGTATGCACATGTAGAAAAACTATTAAAGGGCTGGCCAAATAGCTCAGCAGGTTAAAGCACCTGCAAGCAGGAGCAGGGGCCTGGGTTTGATCCCCAGGCCTGCCAGCATGCCACTCCCAAGACATTCTGAGACAGCAACTGAGACTGGTCTTGGTGGCTAGCACCTGTAATCCCAGCACTTGGGAGGCAGTAAACAGGAGAATCACTACAAGTCCGATCTACTAGTGAAACTCTGAGCACCCTGTAAACCCTTCCCTGAAACACAGGAAAGAAAAGAAGCTTCCCAAATCCTTATTTGCCTTAATCGTAAAGGTAATAATTCCTACCCATACATAACACACACATGCACCTGCTCCCACAAGCCGAACGCTATAGCACTCTCATCATTGTTGTGGAACAGAATACTTGCTAAAAGGGCTCATGTGGATTAGATCCAGCAGATGTAAAGCCTTGCAGGAGCTGGCGTGTGAAGTGAAGCTCCGGGGGTGAAGGGGACAGCTGGCCAAGAACAGTGCTTTGCTTTGGATGGGAACCACCTGAAGACTCCCTATTCAAATAGGGAGAACCGGAGCACTGTTCCTACTCAGCTAGAGTCAGGTAAAATTTTTTATATGTTGTTTTCATAGACCAATGATAAATGTATGTATTTATAAGATACAGTGTGATGTTACAACATGTTTCCAAGGCAGCGTATGCCAGAGAGAAAGATCTGCAGCCTCATATCCACTCACAAGCTATAAAGTCAGTCCTAAATCTCAGTAACTCAAACATAGATGATACTGAGAGAACAAAGTGGGAATTAACATGAGAAGCAAACATCCCTTCAGTGAAAGCTTTGCCCTTCTAGAAAGAAAGTAAGCAAAAACAAAACACATATTTAAAAAATATTCCAGCTACATAGGCAGGTAAAGAGGCCAGAAGATACCTAGGGAGTGTAGAGAAAATCCAAGTAAAATTGACCCCGAAGTGTAAGAAAAAACAGAAGAGGAAGTCCCAAGATTTCAAATCTCACCCACCTTTAAAAAGTAGCATACTGTCACGTACCTATCCTAAGTAAGTGTAGAGTCCGTCATTCTGTTTAAATAGTATTCTCACTCCTGGTACTTAGGAGGCTGGCTACCCACAAGTTACACAGTGTTTTTCTGCATTTTTACATTTACTTTTCATAACAGTATCTTTAGTAGATATCATTATTTTCTTAATATAATCATATATAAATTTTTGGAAATATGTGAATAGCTCAACAAATTGACCATATATTAGATTAAAAGTACATATAATTTGAAAAATGGAGAAATTATCCATATGGAGACATTTCTACTTAAACAGTTTGTAACCCTACAGAGAATTAATGGAATCGGTTCTGTAGTTAATCTCATGCTTAGATATGGGTAAACTTGAACTATGTATTATTGTCCTACCAAAGGACTGCAGATATTACATAAACATCCTGCTGTTAGGATAAGATCTGTCCCACAGTATCTCCTAACAAGGCGTCTCCTGGCCTCCTTACTTCCCTTTGCTGCAGGGTGTCTCCTGATTCCCAGGTAACCCCGATGGAGAACAGGTCGGAAGTGATGGAGTTCGTCCTTCTAGGCCTAGCCAGTGCCCCAGAACTCCGCGTCACGCTCTTCATCGTGATCATTTGCATCTACCTCATCAATGTGCTTGGCAACCTGGGGCTGATCCTCTTGACTCGTGTCGAGTCTCGCCTCCACAGCCCCATGTACTTCTTCCTCACTAACCTGTCTCTAGTAGATGTCGTGTACTCCTCAGCCGTCACCCCCACAGCTGTGGCTGGGCTCCTTATAGAAGCACAAGTCATCTCCTACAATGCTTGTGCTGCTCAGATGTTCTTTTTTGCAGCCTTTGCCACTACAGAAAATTTTCTTCTGGCCTCCATGGCCTACGACCGCTATGCCGCGGTGTGCACACCCCTGCACTACACCAGCACCATGACCACACGTGTGTGTGCGTGGTTGGCCATCGGCTGCCATGTCTGTGGCTTCCTGAACGCCTCCATCCATGTGGGGGAAACATTTGAGCTCTCTTTCTGTAACTCAAATGTGGTCCATCACTTTTTCTGTGATGTTCCAGCAGTCATGGCTCTCTCCTGCTCTGATAGACATGTTAATGAGATGGTTTTAGTTTACGTGGCAACCTTCAACGTCTTTTTTGCTCTTCTAGTCATCTTGATATCTTATTTATTCATATTTATCACTATATTAAAGATGCAATCTACTTCAGGACACCACAAGGCTCTGTCCACCTGCGCCTCCCACCTCGCCTCAGTCACCATCTTCTACGGCACCGTCATCTTCATGTACCTGCAGCCCAGCTCCAGCCACTCCATGGACACGGACAAGATCGCCTCCATGTTCTACACCATGGTCATCCCCATGCTGAACCCCGTGGTCTACAGCCTCAGGAACAAGGAGGTCAAGAGAGCAATTAAAAAGGTTCTTTTGGGCCAGCCAAATAGTTCAGCAGATTAAAGCACCTGCAAGCAATGCAGGAGCTGGGGATTGATCCCCAGGCCTGCGTGCCAGGCCTACCAGCCCCGCCCCTGAGGAAAGCTGAGATGGCGATTGAGACTGGTTGTGGTGGCGCACGCCTGTAATCCCAGCACGTGAGAGGCTGTAAATGGGCAGATCACTAGGAGTTGATCTAGCAGTGAGACCCTGAACACCCTGTAGACTGTTCCCTAAAAAACGAAAAATAAAAATCAAAAGATTCTTTTGCATGAAAAATTGTCTTTAACATTTTAACATAGGAGGAGACACAGGAACTTAATTCTATGACTGTTATGTCTTCATCATATACTGAATCTCATTTTAACACCAATATAGAAGTTAGGTTTGAGAAGTATTATACTCAGTAGTTCAAAGATTATTTCTTTTCTAGGAACAAAGAAGTGTATAATACAGGGGTATAATACATGGACCAAAAGCCTAAGATAAATCATAAGCTATTTTGGTTCTACTTGTTAAAAATTTTATTGAGGACATTTGATTTTTTATTTTTATTTATTTTTTTTTTTTAGGGAAAGGTCTACAGGGTGTTCAGGGTATCACTACTAGAATCGGACTTGTAGTGCTTCTCCTGTTTACAGTCTCCCAAGTGCTGGGATTACAGGAGCACACCATCAGGTCCAGCCTTAATCGAAGTCTCAGTGCACCCCAGGGCATGGCCAGCACAGCAGGCCGGGAGGATCTAGCCTCAGCCCCTGTGCCTACTTTCAGGCACTTCAATCTGCTGAACTATTTGGCCGGCCCTGAGGGCATTTGATTGATTCATTCATTCTACATGTATTTCCTTCTGCATAAGCACAGCATATCACTTTGTCCATGCGTCTGTTTACAAACACGATCATGTGGTCACATGCAAATGAGAGGGGGAACTAGGTCAGACATGAATGGAATGTGGCTGTTGATTAGAAGGTAACAAGTAATTAGCTGAGATATTAAAATTTAACTCATGTATAGTGTTTATTTAGTTAGGTGAAGTGTACTGTTTGAGCCCATTTAGCAGTAATGGCGTCATGCTTCTAAACGAGTGTATCTGCTTTCTTATTGGAGCATTTTATCTAGAGCTTCAGAAGCAAAGAATCCTAGATAAATTAATTTTGTCTTGACCGAATTATTTTATACAACCAACATGGTCAAGTTTAAAATTCCAAATGAAAGAGCCAGACTACCAGAAAAGTGGAGGAAAAATAAGAATATTTTGCAACATACTTCTAACTACTTTTACACCATTTTAAAAGTTTACTGAGATTCAACATGGCTCTTTCATTTACCTTTCTGAAAAGGATTTGCAATTGTCAATGTCCCTTCAATTTTACCAAAACTGAGTTAGCTTACCCTTGTCACTCCACCATTCTTTTATCTAACTTCACTCTCAGTCATTTCTTTGCTATTCTGTCAGTCCACCAACTTTGATTGTGGAAGAAATCTTCTTGTATCGTTCAAGTTTCTGAATATTATCTTGTTAGTCTTTTCTTGGTCACCTTTATAAAACAGATACTCTGTTCATGAAGGAAACTATTTATTTCCTCTAAATTAATCTTCACAGTCCATTCAAGTGACATAGAGAGAAGTTAATTAACTTGACCCAGAATTTTCAGAGGTATGCAGAACTAATAGGATCAGCAGAGATGTATAGGAAGAGATTTATTATATGGGATTAGAGCAGGTGATGATGAAGGCTGGGAACTGGAGGGCCAGTACAGCTGGTTGGTGCAGCTTTGGTCCAACCCAAAGCCCACATAACCAGAGAGATGCCTGGTGTAAGTTCCAGGCCAAGTGAAAGAGCTGAGGACCAGAGGTGTTGATGTCCCAGTGCTATGGCAAACAGAATTAGTGAAACAACATTCAGGATTTGGTGGCAGATTTATTTACTTTGATGGGTACTGGTTGGGATCATTTCCAAAATATCAGGCCCCAATCCCTTGTAGTCTAGGCCTATCATGGAGTGAGCAAGCAGGAAGTCCAGAGGCAGAATGGCTTGTCAGTCGGGGATGGGTTCCTACAAGATGCAACACTCTGCCCAGCTGTGCATCAAAAGGACCATCTCTAGGAGACAGAAGCTCGCAGAACTGGAGCAGGAACTATTATCTGAGCAACAAACAGAGTGAAGGATACTGGCATGGGGGTGGGGCATCTTCTGCTACTTCCCCCCCCCCACCTTTGTGTTCTCCTGGAAAATCGTTGCTGGGCACGTTATATGTGAACTTCAGAGACAAAGCCCAACTAGACATAATTTAGGCCTGTCTTCTTCTTTCAAACCTAGAACAATCCAAAAAGGGTGTGCGAGTCAGAAACCACAGGGTACAAGGTGATGGTTGTGTTGGTGCTGGCAGGGAGAACTTGCCGAGGTGGCTACAGTCTGGGGGGCTGATGTGTGGCTGGAGGCCTGCTTGAGTTTCCCGTGACATCTGACAGCAATGGGGGGTGGTGCAGTGAAGCGACGTTCTTAGTTTCAGGCCCAGAGGCAAGTTCTTAGATCATATCTCTGGCGGAAAGTTTTCAGAATGTCAGGATTGTAATTTCTATCTCAGGCTGATGCAGGCATGATCTTCCTCTTGCAGAACAATCAGAGGTGAAAGTCCTGGGTTAAATGAGAGAGAGTCACAGGGCTGGCCAAATAGCTCAGCAGATTAAAGCACCTGTAAGCAGGCACAGGGGCTGGGGGTTCGATCCCCAGGCCTGCTGTGCCAGCCACACCCCAGGGATGCGCTGAGAGGGCAATTGAGACTGGGCATGGTGGCATGTGCCTATAATCCCAGCTCTTGGGAAGGATGGATCACTAAGGTGGATCACTAGGAGTCCAATCTAGTAGTGAGACCTGAATATTCTGTAGACCCTTCCCTAAAATACAAAAAAAGAAAAACTGAGAGAGTCTGGCAGGTTTAGCAAGGGGTCTTCCCAGTTGCAAGTTTGTGCCTGAAACAGGGACAAGAGGCAAGAATCCTAGTTGTCCCAGAGATGGTAACTGCTGGCAGAGAGAAACTGTTTCATTATGTACCAGGAAAGACACAGGCTTGCGCCCTGCCAACTTTTGCAGTGACCTTGAGCTCTTGGGGGCCCAATCTGACAGAACCTGGTCTGTCCTATCCATACACACATGAAAGGGAGAAGAGAGGTTCAGGCTGACATGGACCTGGATGGTCAGGTTTCTTCATGTCTCAAAAATGGGGTGGGAAGCTCCGTATTGCAGGAGCTGTGGAACAATGCCTACAACAAGCCTTTACCTTATAACACCGGGCTGGGTACTTTTCAGTTGGCTTCTATTTGTCGTGTACTGCAACTGACACCAGAAAAGTAAACGCCCCACGCATGAGCTGAGCTGCTCTTATAGCAAACATCTAAGCCCTAAATCTCAGGCAAGTGACCTCTTTCTTTGTCCTTTCTTACCATCTATGTGCCAGAGGATGGTGCAAGCCCAGACAGTGCAGCTGCAGTGCCCAGAGGGTGTGCTGGGGTGGGCCACTCAGGGAAGAAAGGAAGCCATCTGCCTGCATGTATCAATTCCATGCTTAAATAAACTTATCAGCATAATTCTATTCCTCTCTGCACCACTCTGACTCTTGTGTCACATCTCCCAGCTAATCATAAACACAAGGAAGAAAAATATGAATTTCATTTACTATTTTCCTAAAATTTTATTAACCTATTGATTAGCAACAATAAGTAATAAATATAAGGGGGAAAGTAAAATGAATGAAAACATCTGCAAAAATAAATCTATGGGAGCTGTGGTTGCTTTTCCCAGCATCCTCGAAGGCAGGTGGGCCCAGGACACCTATGGGACATGGTGGGCCCCGCTGTGCTCACCCCCCCATCATCCCTGGAGCTTGGCTCAGCTTCAGCTGCTTCTCACACCACCAAGAAGGCAGGAAGGAGGACTCAGAGCTCGTACACGGACCTGGTGAGCCCTGCACCAACACCTTCTCAACTGTGGCCAGAGTTTGGCTCAGCTGCTCCTGCCTCCCCTGCTGGTAGTGGGAGCATTGGTGACCCTACCCTGCCCTCCTGCTGTCCTGGGAGCCTCGCTTCCCCACCCACACTTCCCTCACCATTGCTGCTGAGTCTGCTTGAACATTGTGATCTCGAAAAATGCCAAAACAAAGGAGCAAAAGGCAATCTCAGACCTCCAGCCCACCCTAAACAAGTCCAGGAGACAATGCTATAGAAAAATATGAAAGTCACACACACGAAATTTCTGAAATGATAGCAACTGAAGTAAAGAAATAACTCCATCAGGCTATAGAAGAAATCAGATCAGAAGTAATCTCCTAGGTAAAAAAAAGAAATGACAACAATCATGAAAGAATTGCTCAGCACATCTAAAGAAGATATAGATTTTAAAAATAGAGGCAAATAGGAAAATGATGAACACACTGAATGAATAATAAAGGAAAGCACTATAACGAATAAAGCACACTCAAAAAAATTTCCAGGAAATTAAGAATCAAGAAAGCTAGCACAACTGCTGGAACAAAACTGAAGACAAAATTTCAGGTTTTGAAGATTGCTCTGCAGCTAGTGAACACAAAAGGAAAGATCTGTTAAAAATAACCAGGAACCAATAAATAACAATGCAATAGCTGCAAGATGATGAAAATACAATCAGTACAAGACTTATAGGTATAAATGAAACAGCAGAAGTCAACAGAAATCACATAAAAAGTTTGTTTTCAAAAGTAGTACCAGAAAATTTCCCAAGCATGGGTGGAGAATCTGACATACAGTTAAGTGAGGCATATAGAAATCCAGCTAGCCATAATCAAAATAAACCCACACCAAGACAATTAATAATCGAGATCCCAGAAAGTTAGCAAAGAACATAATACTAAAAGCTGTTAACGAAAAGAAAAAGATCACTTATAGTGAAAAGCCCTTCAAAATCACATCAGATGTCTCAACATGAACCATTAAATCAAGAAGAGCTTGCAGTGAAGAATTTCAGGTCCCAAAAGA